GCTCCCCGCGCTCTGACCGTCACTGCGGCCTTCCGTCCCTGGGTCGGTAGCCGAGGGAGGGAAAAGTTGGCAGCGCCCCTCGCTCGGCCCCCTCTGCCTCCAGGTGAGAGTTTTCGGCGTGCTGGGCCTCCTCACTTCGGGCTCTCGGTCCTTCCCGGCCTCTCCGAAACGGACAGACGCTGCGATCTGTCCGAACTGGACAGAAATGCGATCGCGGCTAGGGCGGAGGCGAGGGCCTGCGCCTTGGGAACTTGGCCGGGAATCCTCCCGCTGTGGCGAGCGTCGGCTTCCCGGGTGGACCGGACACCCCACGTACAGCACGCCGGTCCGTGCACACTGCGCGTAGTAGCCGCGGCCACTGCGGAGGCTCTGCCGACTTTCGGACAGGCGAAACTTTGCGAGCCAGAAAAACTAAAGAAAACGTTAAAATAGAAAGTCTTCTAACGAACGCCTTTGGGCCCATCTTTCCAATTTTAACTTTTTAACGTAATCAGATTGACGCCTGCACAGGCCCCATTCCAGACGGCTCAGTGTTGGGGAGGAAAAACTGCTGACATTTCAGCAGTGTTCACCTGAGACAGCGTGTGCTTATTTCGTAAATAAGTAACTGGGCATTTGTTTGTTAAAATACTTGAGAACTCTTTGGGAAAAACAGACATAATATCTTGTCACTTAATGTTCCTTAATTATGAAAATACCCAAGTAGAAATTTTTTTTTGCTAGACTTAATATAAAGAGAAATATTTGGTGGTTCTAACACCACTTTGAGAATGCGTGTTCCTGGTGTAACTCTAAAGGAGCAAGAATCTAAATTTTTGGATTGTCCTTTAGTCACAAGTCTTAGGTGATTGTTTCATAAGTGTATTCAAAACGTTTTCTTCACATATCTGTAAATGTGTGTCTACAGGTCAGGACTTTACACTCTTTAAGGAGTGGAGAGAAAAATAAGGCTTCTGTTTCTTATCTATGTAGTTATATTTGGAATGTAAATAACAAAAAGAATATAATGTGTTTTTTTTTTTAATGGAAAATATGCCTTATAAGAGGAAATAAGGATTTCTTCAGGAAGCAGTTTTATGATAGAGGTTTTCTGACAAATTACAAACCATTTTTCTTAAAACAAATGTGTTTGATGACAGAATTAATGATGATTTTTGTCAAATTATAATTCACTTCTAACAGGAGCTACAAATCTTCCTGAATGAATATATGTGATGTTGAACAGTGAGTTACTATAAAATATTTAAAGTATAGGCAGATGTCAATGAACTTGTGTTAAAAGTATTAAAGTAATAGCTCACTTCTTTAGTAATATTAATATTGAGACTCCAGTAGATAGTAGTGTAGGACACTTATAAGAACTCCAGTATTTAAAATTAATAAGACTGCTTTTTAAAATGGAAGCCCTTATGCCATAGTACCTGAATCCTATAGCCGTATAGCCAAGAAGCTTGGCAGCTGAAACCTCCTAGCCACTCCTTGGAGGAAAGATAGTCATTGCCTCAGATAAATACTGACAGTCTCAGAAACACGATGGAGGGAGCTAGGCGTCTATTGCCTGACAAATTATTCTTCCCAGTACCTATTATTATTACATGAAACTGTTTATCTCCTAAAAAGCTAATAGGAAAATAAAACTTAAATGCTTCTGTTACTTTAATCCATGCAACAGAGTAGTTTTTGCTGGGTTTCCAAGCCCCAGAATATATACCTTGGCAAATGAGCACAGCACCACAGGGACAAGGAAGATGGTTTTTTGTGTTTTGGGACATGACCATCTAAGGAATAATTTTTAAGTCACTGTCCACATTGGACCAAACATCAGATTCTTCAAGGTTGGGTTAAAAGATGCAGGTTGTAATATACATAAAATACCACCAAATTTTTGGCATTTTTTAAAATCCCTTAGTAATAGATACTTTCAATTAACAAAATATAATCAGTTAACATTTTTAGGACACTAGAAAAGTAATCAACACTTTGTTCTGCTTAAGATTTTAAGTATACTAATTAGCCTGTTCAAATTATATTTTAAAAGTTGAACATGTTTATTTAATATAGTAAATTGTTCATTTAGACCATGAGTGTTTTAACATCAGTTGCTTTTGGGGATTCTGTTTTATAGTTACACTTTTTACATCATGTATGAATATATTCTGATTGTCTGAAAAATTGACTCGATGTGTAGAAGCATATAGATAAAAAAATTCGCTCTTGTTCCTCTTTTTTTAAAGATATTTTTAGAAGTTTGTGTATTTATTATGGAAATACAGGATGAAGAAAATCTCTTTAAGTTCTTTTTCTATTTGATGTTAAGTATTTGGCAAGATGTATATATTTATTAAAAAAATACTTTTCCCCCCCTACAGAGAATATGAAACAAGTGTCAAAATGACATCCAGATTTGGGAAAACATATAGTAGGAAAGGAGGAAATGGCAGTTCAAAATTTGATGAAGTCTTTTCCAGTAAGCGGACCACCCTTAGTACAAAGTGGGGCGAGACCACATTTATGGCTAAATTAGGGCAAAAGAGGCCCAATTTCAAACCAGATATCCAGGAAATCCCGAAGAAACCTAAAGTAGAAGATGAAGATACAGGGGACCCTTTTGGATTTGATAGTGATGAAGAGTCTCTACCAGTTTCTTCAAAGAATTTAGCCCAGGGAAAGGGTTCCTCTTACTCAGAATCTAGTGAAGCTGCTCAGTTAGAGGATGTTACGTCTGCACTTGAGGCTAATAGCAAAATTGGTCATCTGGTGAGTGAAGACAGTAGTGTGTCTGATAAATGCTTACCTTTGGAGGATACTCTCATTGGAAAAGAGAAGAGCACAAACCGTGTCCTTGAGGATGATGCAAGCAGAAGTATCTGTGCTAAATTAACAACTTCAGGTGAGCTTTGGTTTTCTTTATCCCAATTCCCTAAAGCATCTTACAGGCCTTTTTAGTTAAGTAATTGTAAAATATTATACATCTTAGATTTTCTTTCTGCATTTAGGATTACAGGTGGCTACTGATTGGTAGTTGGAATTTTATTTAAATAGCTTGGATATTAATGCTCTAGACTTTTTAGGTTATATTTAGGGAATTCATACAATCCAGTGCCAGCAAGGAACACTGCTTTTTTGTATGTTCAGATTAAACTGTCTTATTTCTCTTACAGTAGAGGAACTGTGAGTATTTACATTTAGGAATCTGACTTTCCTTCAAAACTAGTTTAGTGACGCTAAAGAGGTAATGACTAGAATCCCTGAAGAATTGACCTTTATTGGAAATGGAAATGCGTTTGTAATCTTTTTTAGATTACTGGCAACTTGTATTTTTGTTGTGTACCTTCTAGTCAGAGCTAACCCATAGCTGACCCTCCAGCAGGTTTTCAGAGGCTGTGAATTGCACAGGAAGAGATTATCCTTCCTTTTCTTGCAGAGCAGCTGTTGGATTAGAACTGGATACCTTTGCGTTGAAGTGCAATTCCTTACCACTACCAGAGCTCACTAGCAGCTTGTTGTGTATCATCGAGTTGGAACTGACCTATAGTGTGTTTCAAATAGTTGGAGAATAGATTGCCCATTTTTTTCCTTCGGAGAAGCTGGTGGATTTGAACTGTGTGCCTTCAGGATTACAGCGTAGCAGTTTACCACTAAGTAACCAGAGCTCCCTATAGCAACTTGTATTAGTAACTTGTAATTAAAAAAAAAAACACCAAAACACCCACAACTAGTTTTATTTTGTTAATGCTGGTTTGTAAATCTGGAATCTAGTACAAGCCTTCTTTGGCAATATTGTGTGTTTGGTTCCGGGCACTACAGTAATAAAGATAATATTAGAATAAAGTGATTCATATGAATTATTTGTTTTACCAGTGTATGTAAAAGTTATGTTTGCAGTGTCCTGTAGTCAGTAGTGTTATAAAAAAGTTTGAAATATAGCGAAAATTGGGGATCTTTTGTGGTCTAGTAGTAAGAAATTACACTGTGTGTGTGGTTTGGAATGGGATCTCCTCCCATGCCATTTACTGCTCCTGAGAACCTGCTTTTTAGACCAATTCCACCTTGATGGCACACAACAACCACCACCGGGGTGTGACTCTGAAATAGGAAGCAAGCACATGCTTTTGGAAAAACAGCACCTCTGAACTTGTTTGACACCAGATTGCCACAGACCTTCAATTTGTAAAAAATGCAGTTATTTCACAAGTGCAGTAGAATAAGGTATGCCTATGCTTTTCATAGAACAATAGATTTATTAGTTATACTCATGCTCCCTTCTGTAAGACATTTGTGACTTTTAATAAATGATAAAGGTAGAGCTAATTAAAAAATTGAAACCTAAAAAGAGAAGATGTGAGGAAAACTGAGAACTCCGTATCAGTGTAAGAATGACAACAAACAAATCTTAGTTCTCAACTTATTGAAAATCACAGTGTAAGTAGGAAAAAGTTTATATATGGCTCTTAGATTTTGAAAGGAAATAAAGATAAAACTTTTTTGATACCGAAATCTTAGGAGAAATTTGTGATTTTGGAGTTTGATGTAAGTAAGGTACGGCAATCAGAATAGTGGATTGTCAACTGTCTCATCTCAGGATAAGCCAGCTGTTACCATCATTCTCTTGATCTTCTGGGTTAATTCTGACTTGGCTGTCCTTATTACTTTATCCCCCCCCTTTTTTTTAATTAGTGTGACCTTTTCCCCCCATTAGTCTTTTTTGTTGTTGTTACATATTTTTTTTTACTGTAATTTTAATGAAAGTTTACAGAAATACTGATTTTCATTCGTTCATTGTTGCACATTTTCTTTCCTAGCCCCCTAGTTCACTTTTTAAAAAAAAAGTATTTATTCATTGTTGCATAGTTTCCTCCTTCCCCTACACACTTTTCCCCATCCACTTTGTTATGGACCTTATTTTTATTTTATTTTTTTGGTGATAACATAGCTTTATTGTAAAAAAAAAATAAAATAAATATATATATATGGACCTTTTATTCTGATCTGCTGTCATACAAATAATGTCTAATCATATAATTATTCTTTCTAAATAGTTGACTTTCCTTCCTCTGTTCCAAAGTAATGTTCATTTATCTCCTCTTAGGTTTCCCTCAACTCCCATCACACAGTGGTGTTATGCAATGTTTATAGTTTTGTGACTGAGAGATTTCACTCACCATAATGTCCTCTAGGGTCATCATGTTGTGTACTATTTCATGCAGTTCCTTCTTTTTCAGTGCTGTGTAGTATTTCATTGGGTGACTGTACCATTGTTTTTCTGTCCATTCATTCCATCTCTTTGGTGTTGTGAATAACACAGCAGTAGACATGGGTGTGCATTTATTTTTTTGGGTGGCGGCTCTGTTTTCTTTAGGGTATATTCCCAGTAATGGAATTGCTGGGTCAAATATTATTTCTATGTCCACCTTTTTGAGAAAGTTCCATACCGCCTTCTATAGTGGTTGCACCATTTTACACTCCCATCAGCAGTGAATAAGGGTACCAATCTCTCCATAACCTCACCAGCATTTGTTACGTGCTACTCTGTTCAATTTTGCTGTTGTCACTGGGGTGAGATATCTCTTTGTTGTCTTGATTTGCATCTCTGAGAGCTAAGGATTTGAAACATCTCTTCACATGTTTTTTTGCCGTCTGAATGTCCTTTTTGGTGAAATACCTAGTTCCACACTTGGCAATTGGGTTGTTTACCCCTTTCTTATTGAGGTGCTGGAGTATTCTATACATTTTAGATATGAGTCTCTTATTAGGTATGTCATCACCAATATTTTTTCCCAGTCTGTGAATTTCCTTTTTACCCTATTGGAGAAGTTTTTTTGGTGCGCATAGGGGTTTGATTCTTAAAAGGTCTCATTCATCTTTTCTTTCCTGGTTATAGGTTATCCATATTTTCTTGGAGCTTTGTTGTGTATACACTAATGATTGGTTCGATCTTCACACAAAGCCAAAAATTAAAACCAAATGGCTGCTCCTAGGTCAGCTCCCCAAAATACGTAGAATTATTGAGTGAGAGACTTAGAGAGGTTAAGTGACTTATTAGAAATGTAGTATAGAGGTAGTGAGGAAGGAGGCTGGGCAAGTGGTGAGTGGACAAGGTAGCAAAACACAAGCTTTGATGGCAGAGGTATTTACAGGCCTGAAGGCTCAGAGTATAGGGTTCCAGGAGCCAGAAGGTAATCATACCCTCCACCTGGCAGATTCTAATTACAGGCCTTTGGGACTGAAGCACACAGCTTTTTGCCACTAGGCCACCCGAACTCCCTTTTTAAAGGTGGGCAGGGAGAAAAGTGCAACAATGAAAGAATGGAAATCTAAAACCTCTGTAAACTTTAATCAAAATTAATTTTTTAAAAAACAACAAAACCAAACAGTTACAAAAAAAAATATTGTTGTTGTGTGCCTTTGTCTGGAAACCAACCCATGACTGACCCTCCAGTGGGTTTTCAGAGGCAGTAATTGCATCAGAGGAGATTGCATTGCTGATTTGAAATATTTTTTGCATAAGCATTTTTTTTTCCTGTTTCTCTCAGATTGTCACTCATGAGTTTTAGTAGGTTGTGCTTTCATTTGAATTTTTTTATTTATTTCTCTTGAATTTTTCATTGGTCCTTTGATAGTTTAATAATAGTGTATTGTTTACTTTTCATAATATATTTTCCAAATGATGTTTTTTGGTTTTGATTACTAGCCTCATTCTGTTGTGGTCAGAGGAAATATTTTGTATTATTCCAGTCTTTTTAAATCGATCAATACTTGCTTTATCACCTAACATGGATGTGGTTTATTATGGAGAGTGATTCATGGGCACTGGAGTAGAATGTACTAACGTTGTTGGGTGATAGTGTTCTGTATGTGCTGAATCTAGTTGGATTTTAGCTTCATTATTGCTATTCTTTGTGAATATTTTGTGCTGTTGGCGTGGTTCTGACTTACAACAACCCTCTTTTGGGTTTCTTAGGCTGTAAACCTGAACAGGAAGAGACTGCGCGTCCTCCTCTTATAGAGCTCCTGGTAGAATCAAACCACTAAAGATGCAGAGTCTTGGTTGGCAAAGAAGTGCTATCTTATTTCTCTCTTTCCTTCTGTCAGTGCTTGCTTTATTTATTTATTTAGGTGTTCCAGTGTTAAATACATATGCATTCATGGTGAATTGACCCTCTTATCACTATGTGATGTCCATTATTGTCCCTACAAATAGATTTTGTGTTAAGATCTGTTTTGTACAATAAGATGATTCACCCAAATCCCTTTTAGTTATTTGCTTGGAGTATTCCCCCCTCTTTTTCATTTTTAACTTGTTTGTGTCTTTGGGTCTAAGATGTGTGTCTTGTAAACAATCTTTAGTTGTATCATCTTTTTTATGCATTTGGCAGTTTTTATTGGATCAGTCAGTCCATATATATATATCCACTATAACTACATAAAGAGAGTTCTGTTGTCTTATTTCTGGATTTTTGTGTCATAGTCTTTATTGTTTCTCACTTAGTTTTGGTGTATTGTTTACTATAGTGAGTCATTTTACTTTTCTCTTTTTCTCTTATGCTTGTCTTTTATAATATTTTTTATTGATGACTACAAATACCACATGTAGTAACTTATATTTGGATTGGCACTGTCCGTCTGTAGGGTCAGGTGTCTCAGGGATGATGATGTTTGCTCAGGATAGGGGAAGGTTCAGAGTCATTGCTCATGAAGGATTGCTATGAGTTATAGTCAACTGTTTGGCACTTAACAGCATAGTGAGTTGGTACCAAATTAATTTCAGTAACATTAGAAATTCTATACCTATGCAGTCCCCTTTCTATGCCTATACAGTCCCCCTCTTCTTTTGTTACCACCAGTTACATGTTTCATATGCTTTGTTAACTGATTTTATTCTTATCTTTT